TTTTGGCTTTTTTCCAAATTAAAAAAATAATAATTTATTGAGATATAATTCACATCTTATACGGTTCACTCATTCAAAGTTTACAATCAAGTGTTTCTTAGTATATTCACAGTTATGTAACCATCAACATAATCTAATTTTAGAACTTTTCATTTCCCTAAAAAGAAACTCCATATCCATTAGCAGTCAATCCCCACTTACCCCCACTCTCCCAATGCTAGACAACCACTGACATATGCTGGACATTTGCTATAATATAAATATAATTTATATTACAAATTATATTATTTATCATATAATAGAAGGGTACTTCAAAAAATTCATGGAAAGATTCATATTATCTTTTTTTTTTTTCAAAAGATGACCGGTAACGGGATCTCAACCCTTGGCTTGGTGTTGTCAGCACCATGCTCAGCCAACCCTTGGCTTGGTGTTGTCAGCACCACGCTCAGCCAGTGAGCCAACCGGCCATCCCTATATAGGATCCGAACCCATGGCCTTGGTATTATCAGCACTGCACTCTCCCGAGTGAGCCACAGGCTGGCCCCTATATTATCTTTTAATTCTGTTTCTCTATGAACTTTTTGAAGTATCCTTGTATAAATGGAATCAAAGAATATATGGGGTTTTTTTTTTCTGGCTTCTTTTACTTAGTGACAATGAAGTGCTATAACACACAGTTCCAAGCACTGTTTCTACACATTTAATCCTTATAATAATTCTATGAAATAATTACTGTTAATATGATTATCCCCATTTTATAGAAAAGGGAACTAAGGCACAGAGAGATCATACAGCATTGCCTATGGTTACACAGCAATAAGAAGACAGGCTTTGGAATGAGACAGACCTCAAGTCTGAGCTCTATCACTTGATTGCCCTGTGACTTATGAAACATTACTTAAACTCCCTCAGTATTTCTCAAACATTAGTTAAATGAGGATAACAATGGCTGAATCATAGAATTGTTGTAGAGCTAATGATATGACATAGGAAAAGTGCTTAGTCTAAGGCCTCAAACTGAAGTGTTCAGTTAATTTTAGTGGTTCAGTTAATTGTAGTGGTTATTAATAGGTAGAGCCAGGTAAAGACCTGGCTCACTGGCATCATTGGCCTGCCTCCCTTAGTATGTAGACGCATCTGAGATGCCATTAAAAAAAAAAATTATATACCATGAAATTCACCATTTTAAAGTGTGCAATTCGGTAGTTTTTAGTATATTCACAAGGTTGTGAATATACATCACCACTATCAAAATATTCTAGAATATTTTCATCACCCCAGAAAGAAACTCTATACCCACTAGCAATTTCTCCCCCATTTCCCCCTCACCCCAGCCCCTGGAAACCACTAATATACTTTCTGTCTGTGGATTTGTCTATTATGAACATTTCATATAAATGCAATAAAGGAATGGCTGATTAGCTCAGTTGGACAGAACCTGGTGTTATAACAACTAAGGTCAAGGGTTTGGATCGCTGTACTGGCCAGCCACCTGGAAAAAAAAAAAAAAAAGGAATCATACAATATGTGGCCTTTTGTATTTGGCTTCTTTCATTTAGCATAATGTTTTCAAAGTTCATTCATGTGGTAGTAAGTATCAGTACATCATTCCTTTTTTTTTTTGCCAAATAATATTTCATTGTATGGGTATACCACATTTTGTTTATCCATTCTTCAATTGATGGACACTTGGGTTGTTTCTACTTTCTAGCTATTGTGAATATTGCTACTATGATCATTAATGTACAAGTTTTTGTATGAACATGTTTTCACTTCTCCTGGGTATATACCTAGGAGTGGAACTGCTGGGTCGTATGATAACTCTGCTTTTTTTTTTTTTTTTGAGGATCTGCCAAACTACTTTTCCAAAGCAGCTCCATCATTTTACATTCCCACCAGCAATGTATGAGCATTCCAATTTCTTCACATCCTTGTCAACACTTGTTATTAACTGTCTTTTATTTTAGCCATCTTAGAAGATGTGGAGTAGTATTTCACAGTGGTTTTGATTTGCATCTGCCTGATAACTAACAGTGTTGAGCATGAGATGCCAGCTTTTAAGTCAGCTCTTTCTGTGTCTGTAGCTGTGTGTTTCCTATAGAAAGTCTCCCCTGGGTTCCTGTTTATGTCCTGCCTGGACTTAGTGGTCATTTTGACCTCTTGGAGGCTGATTGATACCTTCTTAGTGAGGTGCATTGGGGAAGACCTTTGGGCAGGTTACTGTGTATCTAGGATTCAAAGTGTGGGTTCCTCTTGTCAGCAGATTCATGTTAGTATTGAGGCAGTGCAGCCGTCATGTAGGCTTGTCAAACTGCTGGGGCAAGGCCAGCCTCTCTTCTGGACACCCCAGTGATCAGGATCAAGGTTTCTTGAGCTGGAAACAATCTTGAGAGTTCATGTCATCCATCCTTCTGCAACGAGACACCTCTCACCCCCACCCTACCAGATTGGAGAGAGTCTCTAATTTATTCCTTCAAAAATCCCTTTAAGAAGAAATTCCACAGGCCCCATTTACCACCAGCCATTATTTTAGCAGTCTTCTGTGTTATAAAATTTCCTTGCTCTGACCCAGATCCCACCTTCTGTAGCATAAGCCAATTTCCTCTCATGCTTTCCTTCCTCAGAAGATGTGAAAGACAGCTGCTCCCTAGGAGGGCCTTCATTCTCAGGTCAGACAAAACCACTTTGGCTGGAGAAGCCCTCACGTGAGAAAGTCCAGACCAAGCTAGGCCCCTCCAGGAGACTTTAAAGACTGAATGACCTTGTCATTTGGTTATTGCCTGAGTGCCTACTTTGAAAAAGAGAACTTCTGACAGGCTCTGGGTTGTGTGTTTATCCTGAGGCAGGCCATTCCAAACTCATGTTTCAGAGTTTAGAGGTTGCATCCAGCCAGCCTGGTGGGTGGTAATCAGATGCAGGTGGAGACCATCTGGCTGGGCCTGTCCCTCCCGTCCAGTCAAGCGAAGGCTGCCTGCCCACCACAGAGCTGGCCCAGAAAGCACCCCGTGTGGAGGCAGATGGTGTACATGTGCGTGTGTGCACATGAACCCCCACGCACATGTGCACACAGCCCTCCTTAGTGAGGTGGTGCTGTGTGGATGCACATGATCCAGTGATGTCTCCTTTGCGTCTGAGGCTTCTCCCCATTGTACAGCCCAAGAGAAACATGGTTTATTTAGTCTGTTTCTCAAGTTTTTGTGGTTAGAAATCATGTTCTTTTTTTTGGCCCAAGATGAAAGCCCTGGAGTAATGGTCTAATACATTTTACAAAGCCACCTCTAATTGGTGGCAGCTTGAAATCTTCCCTTTGCCCTAGTGACCCATGTTCTTTTGCAGTTTTAATTGGAGTCAATCTTCCATTATAGTCCCTCAGCCTTTCTGCACTGAATTGACCCCAAACAGGGCAATTCAGCAAGAAAATAAAATATTTTATGTGGTGTCCTTCCAAGCTTTTACTTCCTAGCCTCGTCTCCAAAATTCCACGTGGGTACCCTCAAAATGGATTATGCTTCCCATGTTGCTAGATACCTGGAGAAAATGCAAACCATGGACAATTTCTTTAAATGTGATTGGGTTTGACCATGATAATTTCTAAGGATTCCTTTTCAATCCATTAGAAAATTTAGCTTCTCAAGGGTAATGTACAGCAGGGCCAGGTTCACCTAGGCACACAAAGCCAAGGCTAGGACTGATGTCAGCTTCTGAGACTTTGGAATCTCTTTCTATATAGTCTCTGGCCTGACCTCTTGGGGTGATGATAAGGAAAAGCTATGTGGAATCCCAGGATCGGGCATCAACCACATCGTCAGCCCTTGAGAAGTCTCTCCTCTGATCGCCTGTTCTGGGAACTGTGGCTAGCAGAAGAGGTGTTGGCTGTCATCTTAGTTTATGATTTGTGTTTGTATGCTGAGGAGTTTACATGTGTATAATCATTGTAGCTCATGTTTGTACAAGATATAATTACTGAAAATTATATCATGAATGTATTTTAACTTTTAACTCTTCCTGTGCTGGCAAGCCTCATGCAGCTCTCAGGAACCCCTCCCTAGACACTTCCCTTACTGGGAAGTTGTGGTACCCCACCAGCCAGGCCCAGCTCTCTGATCCGCATCATTGCCCTTTCTGGCAAAATTCCATTTCAGGGACTGCTTTGATATTCAGAGCTTGAGTGTTTCCTAGCAGATAAGGAGGCAGGCATTCCTACCTTGTCTCATTGTCACTTTGGTGAGTTGTAGCCACAGACACAATAATTCTCATCAGTCTGGGTCACCAGGGGATGGGATAGGAGGGCAAACTGTGTCTCTCTTGGGTTCTAGTGATTGAAGAATGAACATGGAGAGCCAGATTTCAGGAAGAGCATGTACTGATAGATGATTCGTGTGGCCCTGTAAATGTTACTTCTGCTGGGTTTCAGGAAGAATATGGGCCCACCCAGTATTTGGAATCTACCTTGGGACCCATCCACAATTGCTGAGTTTGGAGACCAGCCAGTCCAGCCTGAGGATTGTACCCTTGTGGGGAAGAGTGGAGATGGGAGTGGAGAAAGGATCTTGTCTTCACAGAGCACACAGACATGTTGGTGGCTCACAGGACACGCATCCTTAGCAAACTAAGTAGGTGCTATTGACAGCTTGAAGGAATAAGGAGCGAGAATAAGGAGGATTTTCAGTAGTGGTGCCTCAGTCATACAGAAAGGAATGTTGCAGAGCCACAAAATTTAGAACTCATAATTCAGAGTGCCAGCAGGGGGATTTGGCCAGGCCAAGGTCATATATATGTACCCATTGCTGGCAGGAGGGCGAGGCAAGATTCTCATTCCTTATAGGCTTTTGAGGTCCTTCCTTCCACCAAGGCTCACACCCTGGGAGAGTCCACTGAATAGAAGGTTTGGATGCTGAAGCCACCCCCAAAAAAGGGAGGAATTATAATTAGAATTTTAAGATGACATTTTTCCTAAGGTAGCTGAGCTTAAAACATTTGCTTTTTATTTCTTTCAGGTTTACAGGAACAGACGGACCCAGTGGTTTTGGCTTTGAGTTGACATTTCGTCTGAAGAGAGAAACAGGGGAGTCTGCCCCACCAACGTGGCCAGCAGAGCTAATGCAGGGCTTGGCCCGATACGTGTTCCAGTCAGGTAAGAGCGCAGGAGCTGGCTGGTGTGCTGGTCCCTTTGCCATGAGCCTTGTTGGCTTTGAGAACTCGTAGGCATGTTTTCATGTCTGTGGGTGACTTTTCCTGGGAGTATGAAACCCCAGTTAGAGGGTGGCTAATTTTCCTGGTGTGTCATGGCAGAGAGGGTTATGTTACTGAGCCCTCCAGCAGCAGGTGGGTGTCCCTGCCACTGTTCTGACAGCCTGAGCCCTTGTAGTTTCCGTAATTAGCATGGTCCTTGCTCCCTGCTGCCAGTGGTCTAGCCATCTCTCTTTCTGGAGCCACAAGCAAATGTTAATCTTGACTAAGGCTTGGGTTAACGGTAGAAGCTGGGCGAGAGAAAGAATTGCCAGGAGATTTCTCCCTCACAGGGTGAAGGAAAAGCTGAATCAGACAATCAGAAATATTGTTTGATTCAAATGATTCACGTGCCCTCTGGTGGATTGTCCTTTGCTGCTGGTACCCCTCTGGAGAGAGCTAATATGGAACCTGAAGTGGGGCTTTGTGCTGGGAGCTTTGGTCTCACACTCTTGGCTCAGCCTGCCTGTAGTCCTCCAGTGGGATGAAATGTCAAAGCTAAATTTTTTGTGGAGGGTTTCATATCATCTGAATGTTTCTAGGTGGCTGCTTAATTGCTCAGAATTTCCGTATGACTTCAGATTTTATTTCTTTGGTTTTGTAAGTAGCCTTTAAATGAAGGTTGAGGTACTTTCCCCCAACTCTTTTGCTCTTTGACTGTCATAGATAAGTACAGAGTGGCATCTAGGCCAGGGTCTCTCAAAATGTGGTCCTTGGACCACCTGCATCTGAAGTGCCTAGAGAACTTGTTGCAAACATATTCCTGGGCCCCACTGGAGACCTCTGACTCAGAATCTTTGGGGATGTTGTTCCCAGATGCTTCTGATAGAGACTACATTTGGAGAACCATAGATCTGGTAGCTTCTCTAGGTACAGTGACTTTTTTTCAAGCCTTAAGTAGGTTATAAATTTGGGGTGCAATAGACTCATCTGGGTTCATCTAGGTTAAACCCCTCTGCCTTCATTCCAGATCTCTGGGAGTCAGTTCTTAGCAGGGTTGTTGTCACATTATGAGACAGATCCATAGCTACCATCTACCATCATGTGTCCTATGGGATAGTCTCCTCTTGAAATCTACAGTGGGTCTTCTCTAAAGAGGGGTTCCCAAATCTGGCTGCTCATAAGATCCCCTGGAGAGCCTGTCAACATACTGATTCTCAGACCTCCCTGCCCAGCTCTGAGTTGGCCAGAGGTAGAATTGGGGCATCTGTTTCTTTTTGAAATCTACAGTGGGTCTTCTCTAAAGAGGGGTTCCCAAATCTGGCTGCTCATAAGATCCGCTGGAGAGCCTGTCAACATACTGATTCTCAGACCTCCCTGCCCAGCTCTGAGTTGGCCAGAGGTAGAATTGGGGCATCTGTTTCTTCACCAGCTTCCCATGGGATTCAGAGGCAGTTGGTGTGGGAATAGTGATTGGGCTCTAAAGTACTGTTGACCGGTAAGAAGTAACATTCACAGGGTCAGGGGAAACAAGCTGCCTAAAGCAGCTGGTTCACATAATTTGGTACTGTCCCAGTATAGTTTGCAGAGTCTTTTAAAATCATGCCAAGAGTCTACTGCCTGAGCCCTTTGTATCCCTGCCTTTCCATTCTTGGTCTGCCTAAAGCTGACTCCAGTATAGCACTGTCTTTATGAAAATAAACTTTTCTTGGTGTGAAATTTGATCTGCTCTGGGAAAGGGGCCTCTACAGACTAGGCAATCTCTTGCTTGTATAGACTAACTCCCTGTATACTGCTTATGCCAGTGCATTCATATATGTACCTGCTCAGGTGGATAGAGGTCAGAGAAATGTAAAATAGGTGTCATGCACTACTGTCAGATGGGAGTCAAGTAGATGAACTTCTGAAATTAATTCTGAAATAGTTCTGAAATTATAACGCAAGTCTGTGGGAAGATAGGATTTGACTTGCAAGAGTTTATTTCGCCTACACAGTAAACATCCCTAGTGACCATTTTGCAACTACTAATGTAGTCATTGATTCAGGCAGAGATCATCAGTGGCTGCCAAAACTTCTGGGTAAAAAGGTTGTTGGGGAACAAGATACGCACAAGGATTCAAAAAAATCACTGCACAGATTACTTATTAAGGAGAGAAAAAGAATACCTTTATAACGGAAAGGTTTGGGTGGACATCACCTTAATCAAATGATCAAACGTAGCAGCACTAGTAATGGATCAAATTAGATTATTATGTACCTCCTTACGTGTTGCAGTGTGAAGTATGAAACATCAGCTGTGTAGCCCTTTTGCAGAAATGTTTAACCCAAGTGGAATCATGAGCGAACAGTCAGACAAGTCCAGATCGTGGAGCATTTTATAAGACAACCACCTGGATTCTTAAAAAGTGTCAGTGTTGTGAAAGAAATAAAAAGACAAAAGGCAGGGAATGTCCTAGATTAAAGGAAACGTGACAATTTAAGTTCACTGCGTGATCCTTGATTGGATCATGAGTTGAAAAAAAGGTCATTTTTAGGATAATTAGAAAAATATGAATTAGACTGTATATTAGGTAATAGTATTGTACTATTGTGAAATTTCTTGAGTGTGATTATGATATTATGGTTGTATGGGATAATGTCCTTGTTCTTGGGAGATAAAGGCTGAACTATTTGTGGATAAAATGACATGATGTCTTGCAACCTAATTGTCACATGATTTGGCAAAAAAAGAAAACGTCTATGTGTGGAGAGAGAAGAGAAAACAAATGTGATGAAATATTAACAACTGGTGGATCGAGGTGAAGGGTATTTGGGTATTCATTGTACTGTTTCTCTAACTTTTCTATAGGAGTGGAAATTTTCAAAATAAGTTATGACTGTTCTTGAGTGTACGTTGGTGACTATACTCTGCAGTCCCTTCTGCACCGATAGCCTCTCTTACAGTGGCTCTAATGTAACCACTGTAGTTTGTGCCCGCAGATCACTTAAAGCTCTTTAGAATGGGGCAGGATGACTACACACCTAAAAGTATAGTACTTGAGTTTCTGTTTTCCAGATTTTCTGTAATATGATTGTACTACTTAAATAACAAGTAAAATGAATCTACTTAAATTTTTTTTAGAACGTGGCAGAGAATAATAGTAAATTATTTAAATATTGGGAAAATGATAAAGAAAAGTAAATGGTAACTGATTTAAGATAGGATACCATAGCTAAGGCCCTAAATGGTAATGAGGATAAGAGCTAAGGTTTAGTAGTGTGTTCTTTGTGCCATGTATGACTATAAATGCTCATTTAATATGCAGACAAGCCCCGTGAGTTAGGTACTGTGTTATACCAGCTTTCCAGTTGCAGAAAGCAAGACAATACAGAGAGGTTAAGTAGCATGTTCAAGGTTACATATCTAGCTGGTACAAAGGCAGGATTGAACCCAGGAAGTGTAACTCTTCATGGCACTCTCTTAACCATGAGGCCATGTTGCCTATAGCTCAGCTGATATCTGGTCTGCTGGATATCTCAGGCTGGACAGTGAGAGTCATCCACATGGATGGTTGCTGCTGGCTCCTGTGGCGTCTGTGCTCTGTGATGCCTCACTCTGCATTAGACATATACTGATGCTCAAAATCGTGACATTCTGGAGCATTTCAAAAAGAGAAGAAGCAAAAGCCATTCATATATTACCCAAATCTTCTCTCATCCATGTTTTCATTTTTAACTTTTTAGTCATGAAAATATGTTTATAAAAAGTATACATATAACTGTACAGCTTGATGAGTTTTCACAAACCAAACACATCCATGTAACCAGCACTCAAATCAAGAAAACAGACTAGTTCTCCAGAATCCTCCCATTGTCTCCTTTTAGTCACCGCCCTTCCCCTATCCTGACTTCCAAGAACATTATCCTTTCATTTTTTTTCTCATTTCACTGCTCAGCGCAGATCCTCAGCACCATGTCGTATCTGAACTCATTGGCGATAGCCTAAGTAGGCCCCCATCTCTACTCCTCTCCCCCGAACTTGTCTCCATCCCAGATCAAGGGGGCAGCATAGTATGGTGGCTTAAGAGTGTGGCCCCTGGACCCAGCCTGCCTGCATTCATTGCTTAGTTCTGCCAGTTACTACTTCCTTGGGCAGTGTGTCCGTACATTTGCTCATCTATAAAGCAGGAATGATTAATAGTAACTGTGCAGGAAGTTATCGAGAGGATAAAATGAGTTAATACCCATAAAACACTTAGAAAAGTACCTGATACATAGTAAGTATTCTATAAGTATTACTGGCAATTATTATTATTCAGTCTTAAAAAACTTTATATGGATCGAGAAGGTGGATACCTTGGTTTTTTGTTTTTTCAGTGATAGTAAAGACCCTATTTAATGTGAAAACCCTATTAGGAAATGCTTTGCTTGTTCCTAAATCAGATGCCTGCCTTAGCTGACATGGTGACATTTGGTGCCATTGTCTTGCTCCCACGCAGGAAGTCAGTAATAGTGATGCAAATAAAATTACCTTGTTTTGTATATCATGTTATATGACCAGAAAACAAATTCAGTTCAGATTTGGCTCCTTGATTTTATGTAGTTGATTTATATAGTTGCCTGTGAAATCTTATGCTAATCAAATGTAGTAGAGCCCATGCAGTTTAGTGGGACCTTGCAGTAAATCCTTTAATAGATAAAGAGTCTTTTTGTAGTGTGAATAATGGCCCCTTATTGCAAATGTTTTATAAGATTGGGTTTAGGCTTATCAGGTTTTCTCAGAGCAGAGCACGCTCAACTGATGCTGTAGAGAACCTCCCTCATGACTTGTAGGCACAGTCTACCCTCTGTGTGGTCATTCTGCGAAATTATGCATATACATATATACAGAATGTGTACTTTATATTTGATGTGTACATAGATACACCTACATGTGTAAATAGCATCAGCATCATAATTCTGTTTGATGGTCTTGCCTCACTCATG